AGAAAAGTTGGAACAGGCCAAGTTGGAGCAGGCCAAGTTGGAGCAAAAGTTGGAGCATGAGGGAAGGTTAGAACAGGCCGTTGGAGCATGAGGAAATGATGGAACAGGCCAAGTTGGAGCAGGAGGTTAGACAGAGAACTACAGGTAAGAGAGATAGAAGTCACCTTAACATCGGAGTTTAAATCAAAAGTGGCATTAAGAGAGAAACTAGCTGCTTTTAACCCTGCTACTGCTTCTTCCCTTGTTCCCGGGTTTGATGAATCCGATATGGACGGGTCATTTAGGACTTGAGAAAATAGCCGGGAAGAATGAGTGGCCAAAGGACCAGTGGGTGTCAGTGTTAGTTCCTAAATTATATGGTAAGGCTCGTAGAGTTTATAACTGTTTAGACCAGACTGATGACTATGATAACGTAAAAGAATATCCTCACCTCTTATGCTATCGCCAGATGGATACCGGCAAGTTTCGTAAACTAACCAAACCATTTTCCCACACCTTTGTTGAGTTTGCTCAAGAAAAGCTTAGATTTGTTTAAGTGGTGGTTAGGGCTACAAGACTCACATTTCAGGATTTGTTAAATTTGGTAGTCCTGGAGGAGTGGAAGAGCAAGATACCATTTCACATCTTGAAGCATGTGGAGGAGCGTGGAGAAGTTAATTTAGGGCGTGCTGCTGAGCTGGCTGATGCGTACGCTTTGTTGGTGGAGTCACTGGGCAGTAGAGAACGTGGTACTTCCCGACATGTTAGGTCCTCCTCTGATGATAACCTTGGGAACGTGAGTGGTGGGTCGAAAGGTCCCACACCTACTCCCCCCGATGCAACCAAGCTTACTTGTTCTTACTGTAAAAACCCAGGCCATACGATCCAGAATTGTAGAAAACACCCAAAGTGTCGAATTGCTTAAAAGTAGTTCCCTGGATCCCCGTCAAACCAATAGCAAATACCAATGTGGAAAGGCCCCATCAGGATCTCTTCTCTTCATTCACCTATGAGGGAAAAATTTCAATCATAGAGGAGTCTCGTTCTTTCCCTATTCGTATACTACGTGATACGGGCGCAGCACAATCTATCCTCCTGTTTAACGTCATTCCTGATATATCTACCGCATTTACTAATGAGAGTGTTCTAATTTCGGATCTCTCATCCCATTCTTCCTATCCTTTAGCTAAAGTGCACCTCCAATGTCCCTTGATTACTGGGGAAGTGCAAATAGCCATAAGGAAAGACCCAATGCCTGTGTGCGGCATTCATTTATTATTGGGTAATGACTTGGTAGGAGATCTAGTGGTCCCTAACATAAAGACAGTCGACTCTCCCTTACCTGTCAACTCCACCACTGACCTTAAAGAAACTATTCCTCATCTTTTCCCATCTTGTGCTGTCACCCGGTCACAGTGTGTGCGTAATGGGCCCTCTTCATGTGAAACCACCTCCAATATCTTACTACCCACAGAAAATCTGTACAATAAGACCATTAGTAAGGATGAGCTCATTACAGCCCAACAATCTGATCCATCTTTGTTCAAACAGGTGATGAAAGACCTCAGTGTGGACAATTGTACATCTTCGGCTTACCACCCACTGTCCCAAGGTTGCTTGGAACGGATCCATCAAAACTTTCAAATCAATGCTAATAAACTATCTCCCTCAACTATATAGTCCATACTCCTGATCGCAGAAAAGATTCACAACTTGTTCACATTAATCTCATGAAACTTTACCATTCCAGGCAGTCAGAGGAAGACATCCCAGAGGCTATAAGCCTACCTGTATTGCATACGGTTTTGTCAGGGCCGGAGACAGATGACATGGACCTATTGGAGAATTTAGACTTCCCTCTACCTAAAGAAAACCCTGCTAACAGTCACATACTCAACAACTTGGATGAGTATTTTTCTGTTCTGAATCCATCTCAAGCAAAAGATCTCACTAAGTTATTATCAACATTTCCTAAAGTCACGTCAGACCTCCCAGGGTTTTGCAATATACTTAAACATATTAAGCTAATCTCAAATGATGTACAACCCATTAGGCAATCGGCCTATCGACTAAATCCACAAAAGAGATTATGAAAAAGGAGGTAGATTTTTTGTTAAAACATAATTTAGCTGAGCCTAGTACCTCCCCCTGGGCTTCACCTTGCCTTCTCATTCCAAAACCCGATAGCACTTTTCGTTTCTGTACCGATTATCGTAAAGTGAACCAGGTCCCTGTCTCGGACTCCTACCCTTTACCTTTGATTGAAGATATAATAGACAGCATAGGCTGTGCCAAATTTATGAGTACCGTGGACCTGTTGAAAGGATATTATCAAGTGGGACTCACGGATAGGGCAAAAATAATCTCGGCATTTATAACTCCATTTGGTCTTTTTCAATATTTGGTTATGGCGTTTGGCTTTTCTAATGCTCCGGCCACATTCCAGAGGGCCATCAACTACCTTATTCAGGACGTAGGTGGGACGTTCGCCTACCTGGATGACCTGGTGGTGGTGTCGGACAGCTGGGACGAACATCTGGTGCGCTTGGAGATACTGTTTGCACGACTGCAAGAGACTGGATTCACCATAAACCTGGCTAAATCTGCTTTTGGCCGGGCCTCAGTGACTTACCTGGGACATATCGTTGGGCATGGTATGGTGAGACCGGAACGCAAACGTTAGAGCCATCTTGTCCTTCCCCACTCAAGGGCGAGGAAGGACGAGGAAGAACTCATGCGCTTCCTGGGAATGTGCGGCTACTACCGTCGGTTCTGCAGTAACTTCTCCAGCGTGGCCGGACCCCTCACAGACCTTACCAGTTCTGCGGTCCCTTACATCTGGAACCAGAGGTGCGACCAGTCTTTCCACCGCCTCAAAGCCTTCCTTGCCTCCAAGCCTGTAGTCCACCCCCCTGACTACACCTTGCCCTTCCATCTGCAAATCGACGCTAGCGGTGTCGGAGTGGGGGCTGTGCTCCTACAACCCGACCCAACCACTGATGTCCTTCACCCTGTGGCATACTACTCCGCCAAGTTGAAAAAACATCAGACCAACTACTCGACCATAGAGAAGGAGGCCCTGGCTCTGGTGTTGGCAATAAAGAAGTTTGAATGTTACCTCCAGTCTTGCCCACAAACAACCCTAGTCTTCACCGACCATAACCCACTAACGTTCATCCAACCAGATTGCAGACTCCTTATCCCGAGCTCCAGTGGAAATGCAGCAGCTACTCTCCAGACGCACCAGGTGATCACCTCCTTCGCGCCCGCGCTACGGAGGTCTTTGGAGGGGGGGTGTGTTACGAACCCCTCCACCCAGCACTACGAACCACGCCATCTATTGTCTTGATCTACCTACCCAGCACCACGAGCAACGCCATCTAGGGACGAGACACGAGTATGACTCGTCTTAGTTAACACTCCGGGGTTTCCCTTCTCCATATCCTGGTTGTTGCGTCACTTCCTCCAAGTCTTCTTTGTGAGCTCCAATTCGAGGAGAGGGCACTTGGCTCTGGGAAGTGACCAAGGGATCATCTATCCTCTAAACCTACGGCATAGTGACTACCTACCGTCTTCTACAATACTCAGCCTTACTCGTCAGCCATCTCAGCTCCTCACTTAAGTATTTGTAATCTTGTATTGCCTCCCCCACGTCCACCTTGCTTCACGATTGTTTTATGTTTTATTAATATGTATATACTGTTAATGTTTAGGTTAAGTTTGGTTAAGGGTAATTTATAAGCTGAATATTTTGTTAAGGGATTTATGGTACTTTATTATACACCACGAAAACTCTCATCCTTTGTCTACCCTTTTATAGTCCGATTGTCTTTGTTTTTGTTGTTGTTACCTGTTGGGATCTGGGTAGACGTATAACTATATTCTAAATCCCCAACTCGTAACATATTCATTAATGATCTTAATTTAGGCATAACTAGTAGGCTTAGTAAATTTGCAGATACCAAAATGGGGAGAGTGATAAATTCAGACAGTGACTTTGAACACCTTCAAAGAGATCTAGATACCTTACATGAGTGGTCAGTAGACAGGCAAATGAATTTTAACTGATAAATGCAAGGTACTACAGATAGGGAAGACGAATACAAACGTTAAGTATAAACTAGGTAACACGGAAATAGAACTCGGTTTGTGAAAAAGATCTAGGTGTATTTGTTAGCAACGACTTGAAACCTAGAAAACAATGTATTAGCGTTCGCAACAAGGCAAACAGGATTCTTGGGTTCATATCTAGGTCTGTGAGTAACAGAACTGCTGACGTTATCTTGAAACTTTACCTAGCATTAGTGAGGCCACACATGGATTATGCGGTTCAGTTCTGGTGTCCTTATTATAGAATGGCCATAGATTCTTTGGAGAGAGTACAAAGAAGAATGACAAAAATGATCCAAAATATTAGAAACCTTCCATATGAAGAAAGACTGAAAAGCTTAGGCTTGCATTCATTAGAGAGGCGTAGAGTTAGGGGAGATATGATAGAGGTGTACAAGTGGGTAAGTGGGATTAACAAGGGTAAAATGGAAGATGTTCTGAAGCTCAGTAATAACGAAATAACTAGAACAAATGGCTTTAAATTAGATAAATTCCGATTCAGAAAGGATATAGGCAAGCACTGGTTTGGTAATAGTTGTGGATATGTGGAATAGGCTACCGAGTGCTATAGTAGGATCGGGGACGCTAGGGAGCTTCAAGACGAAGTTGGATAGGCACATGGAAGTGCTGGGATGGGTGTGAAAGGGATCTGCCCTGTATGGGCCAGTCGGCCTCCTGCAGTATCCCACTTTCTTATGTTCTTATGTTCTTATATCGATAACGTTATATGGTTGTGCATAAATGATTAACAGAACTTACAAAGACTTTGGCCGATGTGATGCAACACCAACCTGCCTTGGGTGAATGACCCGTTGCCGGTTTTTGTTACTCATCTCTGAGTTGGCCACAAGCCAGCAGGAGAACCTGTTGACTGAGATCCCTGCCCCGATACGTGCTCACTGTAGACTCTACCTTCTTTCCATTCGCGCCTCTCAGTCACACGCTCCTCCCAGGGCACGCACCTTCCTAGCACGGAGCTCCTACAAGTCCGCGTTTCAAATCCACTGCCCAGAAATCCATCTTTGACGCTTTTCCTCACCTCTCATCCAAATCAAAATATAAATTTACATTATAATTAAAAGTGGTGCTCTATCACACATTCAACCAAGACATCGTTAAGATCTTCAGCTAGCATCTGTGCCTCCTGCTTGGGTGGTATGGCTGGGTGGTGTTGGTGCTTGTTGATGGTGCTGGGGGTGACGGGAGAGGTCTTTGGCTCCAGTACAGTTGACTCAACTTGCGCATCTACATCATATTTTAAGGTAAGAATTGTCTGACAGACATCACATACCTATAACAGGTTATTCTATAATTCTTAGATAAGAGTGAGATTACTGTTTTATTTTTAGCACCAATATTGGAGCCCACGAAACAGGAAGCTATACTAATAATTATGATAACGGGAAAGTTATCAGTAATTGAGAGTGACTTAGTAGACGTATAAATTTCGACAATGTTGCCCTCGGTGTTCAGCGTGAAGTTCAGGTTGCCCGAGTGGTAGTTATTGCTTAGTAATACACATAGATCAAAGACTGGTCACAAGGTTTTTTTTTTTCCGGGGATTAGCCCACCCGGGCACAGGTCACTGACCCACATCGGGGCCTGGGGGGCGAAAATGTAATAATAATAATAATAATAATCATAATCATAATAATCAAGAACCATAAAGAAATACAAAAAAAAAAAGATCAAGAGTGAGAAACAATATATGTATGTTGTGTTGTGAAAGTAAGAGAAACAATTGAGACCCTGCAGTTGTGTGTAAATGAGGCAGAAAGTCAGATCAGCAACCTGGGACTTGGTCACAATTTTTGTGATGACATATGGCAGCAGGGTCTACCATTAGACAATACATTATGCTTCCAATATCTTCCCGTTTTTCTATATTTCCAAGAACACTTAGAATACAACAAGGCCCTCGCACTTGGAAAAACATGAGTCATGAATACAGTTTGGAAGCAGTTAGTTCTCTGAAGATGTCAAATAGCAATGTAGCCAAGAAACAATGAGACGTAAGATGGCAAAAAGTTTAGGGATTCTCTGAGTTCAGTAAAACGTTGCATCCAATTTATAAAGAAAATTCCGGAGCTGACAAGGACGACGACGAAGGTGACAGTAAACCAAGAAAAAAGATAAAAAAATCTGCGATCTATAAGAACCATAATGGAGCTGACAACAAGGATGATGTGAGGATAAACAGTGAATCATCATATAAGAAAAAATGAAGTAGAAAGAACTAGTTATACGCTTAAAAGAGGCTCCTTCATTACCAGAACATCCTTTTTGACTTATCTAAAAACATTTGTAAATACAAGTGGTAAGGTTCTTCATATTTATCTCGTGTATCCTATGTCATTTACACACGTAATAATTATAAGAAACCTAAATGTATATGTGTAGACCCATAGTTCTACCACGCATACAAATGGGCGCGTAAATAAGCAATTGTGGACCTAAACAGAATGTGTATGTAAACTAGATCACTATAATACCCAACACACGCCTCATAGTTGCACTTTTATACACACATCAATCCCTACAGCTACACCCAGATTTACACAATGTATACTTCCATGTCTACACCTGTATACTGTACATACATCAAAATTCAGTAGCAACATTCGAATCATATTCAACCACGGCCACCCTCATATCAATATACACACAAACAACATACTTCCCTCACTGTCACATCCATATATACAGGCAACAAAAACAAGTTTACTTCATCTAGAACACTGCCACGCCTCCAAGACAAGACTGGCATGAATGGCGGCAGTAATGGCTCGTCTTGCTCTAATCTTCTACCCGTCGACCTTCTGGAGGCGACCAGTTTTGGAGGACGTAGATGCTTGCAGGAGGGCTCGAGTAATCGTTTACAATATTATCCCCATTATACCAGTAAGAATGTCGTAACTTCTAGCAGTGATCAGAAAAGAAGACATTAGTCTATGACCGCCGGACAAATTTACAACTCGGTAGGTTTTGCTAAGGTATACACAGCCACACCTTGACCTTGCAGCTAACATTTGATTAACCTTTGATTTGCATAAGATACTTTTCTTTTAATGTCGTGTGAGTTAATTCACGCGCAAGAGACATCTATAGTTTGTTATATACAGTGAAGGTGTAAACTAACATCAATGCACATATAGAGAAAGCTGACACGGTACTAAAGGAGGAACTGCAGGTTTTAGCTAAACAGTGCTACCAAGTCTAATGCAACGTCACTACTATACCATAACTAACTAGTATTGAGCTACTAACATGCCGATTAGCGTAACATTTATGTATTTATCTTATTTTGGAAAATTCTGACTGACTGTAAACTATCATGCAGATCATCAATAATATATATACTAAACTTAACGTAACTTAACCTAACCTTACAAAGCCTATTTTAGGTATAATTTGGCTAGCTTATGATGGTAAATACAGCCAATTATATCTTGAATGAATTAATCTCCATTAAATCCACATTTTTCCCCGTTTGGTAAAAACGTCAGTTGCCTTTTCAAAACTTAATCGACGACTATCCCCATAGAGCGTAATACACACACCATGGAAGTATAAGGTACACCTCCATGACACACACACACACACACACACACTGTATTGCGCATAATCATAATACAAGTTTTAGATTTCTTTTTGTCCTTATTGAGAGTCGAGCGTCTCGTCCTGATGGAAATATAACAGAATTCTCGTGACTTCAAAGTTGTTTTGTGTCATGCAACTTTTTTTCTAAGTTACATATACAATTGCGCTTCTTTTGACAGGAACTGCCTGATTGTAATATGTCTTTGAAAATCCAAACACGTCAACAGTACAGTACAACCTTTACCCAAGTGGAAACGTATTAAAACTGGTTGTCATGTTGTTATAAATAACAGGTAATGACGGCGACTGAGTCGTTGGTTAGAAAGATGCGGGAAAATAACGTGATCAAAATAATTTTGTCTTAATCACCAAGATAAAACATTGTTATAATTAATAAACAACTTTAAGCAAGTAATTTTCATGAATGCTGAATTATCATGGAATGATTATTAAGATCTTTGAAGATATGATAATAGCTATAATGTATTTAATTATTCATTCTCTTGAGAATCTTTATATGTTTAAAATAACCAGAGCACGATTTTCCTATTACAAGGGTGAATTAGCTAGACTGGCTAATTCATCCATTGTTCGCCTGTGAATACCTGTTATCCATTTATATAATAACAGGGGGACCAGTTTACAAGACCCGGCTAACCTTAATTGGTATGTATATTTATTAACAAAAACATTATCAAACATCTTATTTTCTTTAACAGAGTTGCAGGGAATGTTTTATTTGTACACAAGATTAACGTAATCACCGACAATACATTTTCAATGTTCCGTTTCGAAATTTATTACGGCAATAGTCGGGAGGACACAGAGAAGACTCCTTACACTCAGGTGCCCCCGGGTGTATGATGTGACCCTTCACCGGCTGAGCTGCCAATGCCGTTACGTGGCCACGGAATGCTGCCTTACCACCCCCACCCATTTTTCCACCTGTACTGGGAGGCGTGCAGCTGTGGGGATGAGTTGTAGTGCAGAGCGGCAAGTTCAAGTGGAAGACAAGGCTCGCACTGCTCCCTCTGTTGCTATTAGAATATTTCTTCTCACTCTCTACACACGTGCAATAAACAACGTATAATATAATCACGATCCAAAGTTTGTATTCAGGCCTTGCTAGCAGGGGTCCAAAGGGCAGGGTAACACCCCCCTCCTCCCATGTTATGTGGAGTGGTAGTTCAGACGGTGCGAGCAACATTTTCATGATCACACCAGAATATCGTATGCTGTCAAGTCCGTGTTTGTTATTTTTTACAAGTGTTACTGCCGTAATTACATATCTACTGTAACAGGAGTCAGACTAACAAAAATGCGTCATTCAAGACCTAAAAAGTGGTAAATATAAAAGATAAATTTAAAGTATGGAGCTAATATATGATTTAATAACGTTCGATCGGATTTGAAGCTTTGAAGAGTCGTCGTAGTCTAACAAAATGACGTCAGTACGCCAACATGACAGCAGCATAAGGCTTCGATACATGTAGTCTCAACACTCACTTTTACCAACCCTACAAACCAGTGGCGTATATAATATAAGTCTTTGGAAGGGGTGGGGCAAGACTTGAAGATAAGAGGGAGGAGGGGCACAGTACCCTCCGAGAAAATGCGTTGAAATTTGATCAATATTATTTCAGGAACTTTTGAGGCCATCTGCAATGAATAGTAGGACATAATTATTTCATGGCTTATATTAGTATTTATGTTGAAGGCTTTTCCTCCTGACTATGGGCCTGAATTAATCTCTAAGTACTTACGTCCTGGTTGCGTTGGGTTGGCGTTGAGGGTAGCAAAGTAAGGAAGGCCAGGCCACGTGGGCCCCTATTAACGCCATTGCTATAAAGCTAATGATTTCGCGCCTTACATCTGTGTTGATATTCTGCTTTTAATGCCGCCTTATTATTCATTATTCGGTATCATGTGTCTTCTTTTTTATTTTTATTACTTTTTACTTTTAGCCGCTTGTAGGCAGTCGGTCACGTCTCTGCTACGTATTGTTGTTATTACTGGGCATGCACTGGCTCCTGAATGTATTCTGAACCCACTCCAGTGTTGGTCAAGTCTGGTCTTGAAATAGCTCACACTCGGTGCCACAACACTATTGGCCGCAGGTTCCAAGAGTTCACAATTCTCACTCTGAAAAAGTTTGCCCCTCACAGTTTTCTGGACTTGCGGTTTCTTCAACCATGAAGTGCTTGAACCCTTGTGGGGTGGGCGTCCGCCAGCTCCAGGTATGGACACTCGACTGAGTAGTACCCTTTGAGACGTTTATACACCTCAATTAGGTCGCCCCTTGCCCGTCTGTAGTATAAGCTAGGCAGTTGCAGGCGCTCTAATCTCTTTGGATAGCTGAGGTGCCGAAGTGCAGGCACCAGTCTGGTGGCCCTCCTTTGGATATTTTCAATCAACTGACAGAGTCTATACTCCAGGTGGGGAAGCACCTCACTCTTGAAGATCGTTACGAGGTCGGTCAGATATCTCGACAGTCCGTCTAGATATGTGAACGACCTTCTTATGCCTAATAATTTAGTTGCTTTTGATATTAATTGAAACTAGCGCTGACATATTTCTTTACTTCTTCTACAGCTGCACCTTTCCTGCCGAACTAAGCTCCTCCATCCACAAGATTTTATTATGATTATTATTTACAATGATATCATTATTATGAAACCGTACACTTAAAGAACAAACAGCCATCATTAATCTCGCGCCGTCTGGCAACACTAACTCACTCCAACTATCATCGGGGGTTCGACTGGCACTTCTGGATCCCCAGCTACAAGACCTGGATACAAATTTTGGATCGCGACTCTATTGTATCTACTACTGTATAAGAAAAAGCTGTTATACTCAAAACTGTAATTCTATCTGACATACGGAAACGATTTTCTTAAATATTTTGAATGAGTAAATTTTTCTCTTTACTTTTGTAAACTCCTGAGCGTTTAAAGGTTAATCAGACTCTTCACATTAAACTCGAACGTTATAATTCAGTCAAACCTGTTGAATACAATTCATTTTACTATTTCAAATAAATCATACATAGGCAATCATACATAAATGTTTAATCCAATATATATTCACATAACAATCATAGCTATGTAATTAGTCTAATCTTAACACTTATAATGAGAACGTAATTTGCCATATTTCTATGTTGTCACAATTTTATTTGAATATTATCAATAAAATTTCCAATATGCCACCACGCGCATCAATCACTTTCTTTATTGTATTTAGTAAAGAATTAACTGGGTTCCAACATATGGTGGGCCGTCGCCAGATGGTCTCCTACATCTCTTGGGATTTAGGGCACTTCCCTACCCAATTTTAGCTATGCTGTATATCTTATAAACTGTGGATCTAACTGTGGGTGATGGATCGTGGTTGGCACCTGTGGGGTCTACCCACCCTTGTGGAGAGACTGAAGACAGTTTACAACCAACCCCTCGGACACCGGTACCTCTCTACTGGATTTCAGCTGTCCGTCATCAAAACTGTGGAAATGCACCCGCCTCTCATCTACGGACCGGCCCGCAGGTGGGGGTTCATGGTCAGGGTCCGCCCTGACCCAAGTGGAAGGGAAGGGATAGTGCATAACCATCCCCTTGGCCACCCGCACTTCCCTACCAAATTTCAGCTGTTTGTCTTTAAAAATGTAGTAATGCATAATAGACACACATACACACACAGAATGTATTTTAAATTATTAAGGATACATCTTAGGTCTTTAAGTGCGCAACTAGGTAGCAGTTTCACTAGTCCATCAAGAATATTAAGAATTATGAGATATAACTCTCTTGGTGTTGTTACTGATAATTAGGAGTGTTGTGTTGGCAGGTGCTGTTCAACCAGACGGAGGCAGTCCAGTACGTGGAGTACGTGGCCGAGATGCCTGACTTGTCCGGCTTTACATTACACTACTGGATCCATCTCCTAGAACCCTCCAGCTTCGTCTGTCCCTTCGCCTACATCAGTGAGTTAACTAGAAAGATCCTAATGTTTCTGTCAGGTCTGTCTCAGCTTTACAAATTCAAAGTCTAGTCAAAGGTAGCGGTCAACATGTCGTAATTTAGGATCAGGAGGTAAAACAACACTCAAACGCCTTGTGTATCTTCAAAACTTTCTCAACTTAAACTCGGTAGAAAGACACTGGTAAGGGTTTGCTTAAAGCATATAACCCATGCATTGTTATTGATTTCCTTCAGCATCAAGGAAAAATATGAAAAAAAATGACTGAATAAATTCAGATACGAATACAATATACTCAATGTTTTCTTTACGGTAACATGGCAAGGTACGATAAGTACTGTGCATTAAAACAATTAAATCCTTTACAAATCTAGATTTATATCACCTTGAACACAGTATACAGTACTCAGTAAATATGTCTAGGAGGCTACAGAAACTAACGATAATGAGAATTTTCTCCATGTTGGACGTTATCGAAATTTACACCGGCAATTTAGAATTAAACCTATTTGGTCTGGACACTTAAAATAGAAGAAGCTCTTACATTATTGTTGCTAGACTCACTGGCGGCTCACTAACCGCTCCCCTGCTGCCCATCTCAGTGTGACTTTACTTACCCTCCCATCATCCCTTCAACAAATTTGTTGCGTAAAATAACCAACGACCAGAAACACTCGGGAGGAAGTGAGGTAAGGTAAAATTGTGGCTGGACAATTAGTTGTTCACCTATGGCATAAAGCTGAAGAACTTCACGTAATGGGGAAGAACATAATGAGATTTTTCCTTTCTATTTTCTTGTAACACTTACAACAATATAACAAATCCGATTGTTATTGTGTATAGTATATGGTGACATAATTCTGAAAAGAATTGTAATTTGCATTACCATCATAATTATTTTTAACATTATTCGTAGCAGTAGTCGTAGTAATCATTAATGACGTATGAAGAATTAAACGTTACAATACTTTCAAGCTCAAAATCATTACCAGACGAGGCCGACGACACATCTATCCAAGTGCTTGTGGTACGATCTGAATTATCATGGACGTGGGTGATACAGGTGAACGGCGTAGTGGTAAGCTTGGTCACCTCCCCCGTCAGCCTAGTGGGGAAGTGGCACCACGTCCTCCATTCCTGGCACTCCCACTCCGGCAACTGGAGCTTCTACTTGGACGGACATTTGGTCGACTCTGGCATCAACCTTGAGGTGAGAAGTGCTGCCGAAATCTCACTTACACTTTTATAATGAAGTTACATTTTTGTTCAACTTGACAACGCCTCCACCTTTAAGGTGCCACTGAAGGGAAAGTATCAAAGTTTAGTAGGTTTTCATGAGGCTGAGAGGTGAAAAAGAGCCTGAGTACGTTAGGTGTATGGCTACTTTGTGTATTGCATAAATCAGAGACTAGAATATAGAAGTAATTCAACACATAGTCGCATTAATGCTAGAATGTATTCAGACTACTTCATATTACAGCATAAGACTAATCCAAAGTGAATTTACATTTAACTGGATAAATTTCCTTTATTTTATACAGCAATTAAGTAAAACCTGCTATGGTATAATTATATCAGGTTCATGAGTGTGAATAAGAATTTAAAATTTCCCTTTCTTGTCAGATAAAGTGTCCGTTTGTATACACAACTTCAAACAAAACTTCATATGCTGTGGTGACTTTGAACCTTCTGCCAATCTTGAACCATTTTAAGAAACTGTAGGGTTTAGTGGTTGGTGGTTAGCATTTTGGCAACCTTCTCTGCTGTGATAGGGGGTTCTATGTTTCTCCTAGCTAATTGTGTTCCAGGGCACTCTATAAGGTGGTGCTGCAATGAGTTTTCTGCTCTGCTGGTACTTGTACAATGATTTCCCATATGCTTGGGTATCTCAGTCTCAGTCGTTGGAAGATGGCTTCTTCCAGTCTTGTCATATCCTTGATGAGTGGTGGTCTCTCTTAATCTTCAGAGGCAGCTCGCTGGTGTATATATACCTCTCCTCAGACACCTAGAGCATCTTAGCGCCATCTAGGCATTGCAGGTCAGAACGACATGCGCAATACATTCTTGAGAATTCTTACATAAGTAATACGTCAATATATACAAGAAAATCTCCCCAAACTTGCAAAATTATGCCTCAGCATAATAATATATATATATATATATATATATATATATATATATATATATATATATATATATATATATATATATATATTGTTACTAGTTGGGGATTTAGAATATAGTTAAAAGTCTACCCAGATCCCAACAGGCAACAAAAAACAAAGACAATCGGACTATAAAAGGGTAGACAAAGGATGCGAGTTTTTGTTGTGTATAATAAAGTACCATAAATCCCTAAACAAAATATTCAGCTTTCTATAATTTACCCTTAACCATACTTAACCTAAACATTAACAGTATATACATATTTATACAACATACGATAATTTGAAGCAAGGTGGACCTGGGGGAGGCAATATAAGATTACAAATACTTAAGTGCGGAGCTGAGATGGCTGACGAGTAAGGCTGAGTATTGTAGAAGACGGTAGGTAGTCACTGTGCCGTAGGTTTCCAGGATAGGTGATCCTGTGGTCACTTCCCAGAGTGAACTGAACTCTCCTCGAACTGGAGCTGACAAAGAAGACTTTGAGGAGGTGACGCAACAACCAGGATATGGAGAAGGGAAACCCCGGAGTGGTAACTAAGACGAGTCATACTCGGGTTTCGTCCCTTGATGGCGTTGCTCGTGGTGCTGGGTAGGTAGATCAGGACAATAGATGGCGTGGTTCGTAACACAATATATATATATATATATATATATATATATATATATATATATATATATATATATATATATATATATATATATATATATATATCATGTGTGTGTGTGTTATTAATTTTATGGAAGGTACCAACAACAACTCTAAAAGAAAATGATACAGGACATGACCTTGACACCCTGACCCCAATAAATCTAGATTTCATCCTTGTAGGTCCAAAACGAGGCCTTAAAGATACGGTTTATGAATATGTGTAAAGTTGAACTATTAAACCAAAGACCAATATCTGAAATACACCAGTGGTGCTTGAAACAGTGGAACATAATGATTGAACAAGCATGAGGACCTGGTCCTCATAGATTGACTTGTGGCCAAAATGTGTGACCCAGCTAAATAATCGAACATTTGCATCAGACCCTTGCACAACATAAATTATGTGACTACTATGACTGAATGAGATTGTCTGTCTGACATTTAGATTAAGCGATAATGACATTGAAAAAGCTTGCTTGTCCTCACAGACAAAAGGGATGACGGTGAGTGGTGGAGGGCGGGCGTACTCCGGGCAGAGATACAACGCTATCACCAGCAGCGAACCTTGTGATGAGGGAGTGCACGGCTGGCTCACCTTACTGGGACTCGACACTCGGGGAATACAGGTAATAAAATTAATATTTTCATAAATTCTCTTACAAAAATCACGCTAGTAGCACTTTAAAAATAGTTTTACTGGTAGTGCTGTTCGTCCGTCCGCCTGTCCACGATTAACTCGGTTTGGCACCATTGTTGTCGTAAAAATATAATTATAAGAGGCTCTTTCTTGGGTTTCTGAGGTGTCACCATCCTAAGTAATTTTAGTTATAGCAAATATAAATCTGGAGGATTTGGTATTTCAAATGACTTAGATTGTAATAGCTGGGGAAGCCGGCGTTGACTGGTTTATTTCTAAAGGGCTAAGGACAGCTCATAGCCTATGTGTGAGACTACACTATCATCTCCACCACATCCACTACATTATCATTTACATTGCACTCGCTACATTATCATCTGCACTACAACCATTATACTATCACCTCCACTATCATCTACAGAAGACACTATCCATTGACTATACCATCATCTACACTACACCAACTGTACAACGATCAAAATGTCGTCCTCAAAACATTTGTACATTACATATATTTTGTTTGATATATTATCTATTTTCTTATTTGTTGAGTGTTATGTATAATATTATTGTATGTGTTGGGTCAGCGCGCCGAGCACTGGATGAGCCGCCTGATGGTGACAGTCTTGGTTGATGGGTGCAGCCCGGAGCAGGGTGGCGACATCCTTACCTGGGACTACACGCCCAGGCAGGGGTACGGCGGTGTCATGACAACACGCGCCAACACCACCTGTGGTCATTTCTAAACTATTCCTTCACCATTAAATATAAATGAAGGACAAGAGAAGAAATAAATAGACATATCATAATGTGTGTATGTACAGTCGGGGTCAAAAGTCTTGAACACTTAGCACTATCTGGCATCTACTTCTGAGTTATACATATATGATTGGGATATACTAATAACACTACTTGTCATCTCATATTATGCCTGAACCACAAAATGGGATAAAACTCTCCTTAATACCTAAGATCTTCGGGCACTTACATGCCAAATACTGTCAAGTGTTCAAAACTTTTGACCTCGACTGTACGTACGGGTACATACAGTATTATGTGCGTGCATATGGTTGTACATTTGTTTTTATATGGTTGAGTATATCCATATGCCTCCTTATGAGGGTTTATGTGTATGTACAGTACGTGTGAGTACAATGGTGCATTGTATTCTGCAAAAAAATAAATTGTAAGATTTATTTATTTATTTATTTATATTTATATATTTATTTATAATTTATTTCAGATAAGCGTGGTGTTAGTGTAATGTATTTGATAATAAAAATAGAACAAGTACACATCTTTCAATTATGTCATCTACATTACACATGGGAGGAGCGGCGACCGAGTGAACTCAGTGCTCACCTCGTCTTGTGGGTCGTATAAACTGCCGATTCCTTTTGTACTTTTTGTCTTCTTCCGTCTCGACTTCATAGGTTCTACTTTTGATCTTCTTGGTGACTGTAGCCATCTTCCACTCTTGCGTCTTGTTGTCAATGGGCTGCATCCTAACCGCTTCTCTAACTGAAAACGGTCTCATCGATCTTTGGTCTTGGTGTCTCTCTGCCACAGTACTCTTCTTGTTCTGCATTAGCCATCTCTCTTCGTCCAGAGACCATTATTTGGGCTCCAGTAGGGTATCATTTGTGGGCACCAGCATCTTCATCCTCCTCCCCATTAGTCGTCGTGCAGGACTCGTGTTCAGTCCCTCTTGTGGGGTGTTTCGGGTGTTCAAAAGACCAAGGTACAAGTCTTCTTTTGCCTTCAAGCACCGCTTCATCATTCCTTTCAGTCTTCACAGCTGCTTCGGCAGCTCCATTCGCCTTACTATTGCCTGGACGTAACGCCTCATGAGAGATGTTCTAGGCTCGGGTAAACTGCTAGAAGTGTTGCGATGTGAACTGCGGTCCATTATCGCTGATCAGAGTTGCAGGTATGCAAGTCTCAGCGTTAGTCACAGGTAAGTAGTCAACCTCAATATATATATATAAGTGAGTAATATTACAAAGAGGGGGCGAAATAACGGAAGAGAAAGTGATATCACGAAATAGAACGCGACATAACGAAACAAAGGCGACATAACGAATGCAAAAGTGATATGAGGAACGAAAAACAATATGAAGAAAGAGCAAACGTTACAAGAACTTTTAGTCAACGCCGTGATAATGGAAAAAGCAACATGGCAACGGAAACAGCGACAATCTAATCATTGTACCAGATATTTTTCAAATAAGAACGAGGAATTATTACACTTGAAAATTTGCAAAAAAAAAATAAATAAATAAAAAATAAATAAAACCACAAAGGAAATGATCGATAAAATTACACACACAATTAAAAAAAAACACAAGGCAAATATCTATGCTCTTATCACATTAATCTCCTAGTGCTTTTCGCCTTCAATTAGAACTTGTTTGTTTTAGCTTTATCTCTAAATTATGAACACAACAGGAAGAGAAAATTGATAGCTCTGTTGCCTCATATTTACATATTCAAAAATATTCCCCGAAAAATAATAATTTGGTGCATAAGAATTTAATTAATTATCAGTCTGTTTTTTTCTGGAGACAATCAGGGTTTAAAGAACATAAGAACATAAGAAAATAAGGAGTCTGCAATAGGCCGGTTGGCCTGTGCATGGCAGCTCCTGTCAAGAGTTACTACCACTCTCTATCATCCATGAATCTATCTAGCCTCCTTTTGAAACTTTCCACCGTTCCAGCACTTACTACAAAGTTGCTAAGCTTGTTCCACTCGTCCACCACCCTATTTGTAAACCAGTTCCTTCCTATCTCCCTCCTAAACCTAAACTTATCCAACTTGAATCCGTTGCTCCGAGTCCTATCCTGCTCGGATATTATAAAAACTTTATCTATATCCCCTTTATTGATCCCTTTCACCCACTTAAATACTTCTATCATATCTCCCCGCACTCTTCGTCTTTCTTGGGAATGCAAGTTAAGTTTCTTTAACCTATCCTGATATGGAAGGTTTCTAAGTCCCGGAATCATTTTTGTCATTCTTCGCTGCACCGACTCTAGTGAATTTATATCCATTCTATAATAGGGGCACCAGAACTGAACCGCATAATCGAGGTGCGGCCTGACTAGCGCAAGATATAGTTGCAATAAGACCTCTGCACTCTTGTTACTTACACTTCTAGATATAAAACCCAATACTCTGTTTGCCTTATTTCGAACATTAACGCACTGTTTTTTAGGCCGTAGGTCCGGGCTTACAAGTACCCCTAAGTCTCTTTCACAAGTCGACTTCTCTAGGTTGATGTTGTTAAGGCTGTATACATATCAGTATTTGTTCTTCCAATATTAAGTACGCTGCACTAGTGTTGAATTTCATTTGCCATTTTTCAGACCACCCCTGCAGTTTATTTAGATCCTCCACAGTATTCTACTCTAAAACCACTAATACTCATGTAATAGAAAGTTATCAATAAGTTAGTGTCTGGAAATAAAAAAATAAGGAAAAAAAAGAATCTTGTAACTAGATTTAAACAACATAAATAGAGTGTTAGGACAGGCCAGGAATCCAATGCTCTGTTTGTTCATTTGAGGGATAACAAGCATTGCATTGACTGGGATAATGACTCCTCAATATTACCTTGTAATGCAATTGACAGTAGGAACATTATAGAATCCAGTCTCATTAAACATACCGAATCCGTAATGGTATGTGCAAACTGGATAATTTCGTAATTAGGAAGATTTGTAACCAGGTGAGAAGGTTGGGTCATCTTACCCTCTGACCTGACTACCGACTGCTGCGGTGCTTTTTGAAGATTAGTGGGGTCACTATACCTAATACCTGACCATTGTGGACCTGATCTCACCCTCCTCTGTATATATATACCTTGTTATGTACTTCTCCTTAGTCTGTACTCACCCCTGAAGATATGAATTACACGAAAGCGCTTGGGAATTTCGTGTTTTATTTTTTCCTTGTGGTTATCAGCAACACGAAGTTCCCAAGCGCTTTCGTGTAATTCACAATACCTGTCTCATTCAACCTTCTCGTTTTGTCAATGTAAATCTTCCAAACTGTTTCATTGTGTATAAAACCTTAACGATTACGCAATTGCAAGTTCATATTTTATTTACTGATCAGAATCATCAGATTTCTTTTTATATTAATTTTAATACATTATATTCGAAAGTTCAGATACTAGAGCGGATATGTTGACCAAGAAAAATATTGATAGGTGGGTGTGTTTTACTGAAGTAATTGATAAAAGGAATGCGCCGGAGATATTAGAATTGTATATAAACAGTGTGAGGACTTTCTTCCGCCACACTCCCTCCTCTTTTCTTGACCAGCCCACAACAACGCCCTCAAGATGAACCCTGGCCTACTCCTCTTCGTTTTGGCTGTGAGTATATTGGTTGTGTCAAATTGATGCTTCATCGCACACTGACATTGATGAACATTTTTTACTAGGCAAAAATAAGTTTTAAAACTCTATGATTCTTGACTAAAATTTATTTTTCTGTGGTGGTTTTCGATGATGTTTTACAACTATTTGGAATTTACGTTTGTTTTCTTTGTTGTGTGTCCATATATATTTCATAAAATAAATGTTTATACATGAATTTTAGTAGGAAAATTAGATATTAGACTAATGAAGTTCTCATAAATACCTGGCCTTTTGTCTGGTGATGTACCAAGTGTTTCTCCTTCATCCTGCAGGTGGGGACGGCGTCTGCCCAGCAGCTGACCAGTCCTCCCTCACGTGAATGCCGGGAGCTGGTGAGTACCTCTTATCTCATAAATTAAATATATAAAGAAAACTTACATTGAACATTCTACATTGAATAAAAAAGTTCTAGTATAATCATTGTATCCAAAGGAAAGAAACGCCTTCCCAGAGGGCACTATTTATAATTTAACTGTTGGTACAATGGGTTTATAAATTAACAGGATTTTCTTGTACATGTTAATGGTGTTGTGTTTCAGGGAGCCATGTCTGGTGGAGCCAAGGAAGGAAACTCTGTCCCCACGTACAGCGCTGGAGAGGTGAGCCTCACATTCTGTGTTACTACACACTACATTTCGAACATAATGTTTTTACAGCAATTTAGCACGAGAAAGTTAAACAGAACCCCATCCTAGAATTAGTCAATTTTGTTGTTTTTATTTTTTTTAAGCCTATACAGTTTTGGAACCTACTGATAATAATTATCACCCCAAAAACCAATGTCTCCATTTCCCCGGAAGTATGTATGGCGGCCATCTTGGTTTTTAAAAAATGGCCACCCTCAAAGGCATTTTTCTCAATATTTCAGCTTCTAAGCCACCCTGGGCATTCATGTTAACAGCTAAACATACATATTCAGGGACAAAGAATCCAATGGTACCAGGTATAATGTGGTACAACCACTTCCGGGGCCATTATGCCTTTTGTCATACAATTTTTAAGGTATTAAAGGAACCTGCAATAATGTGTGATGTGTGTTATTATGAGTAGATTATGATTATGAAGTAAGATATTCCTATTATGATAATTATATGCTAACCTGAGTATACTGAATTGTGTGTATATGTACAGTATATAATACTCTCATTATTTGGAAATTATTGTTCCTGTATCTCACACTTATCACCATTTTTATATAAAATACGTATACGAATAGTGTTGGGCAATAATATTAGGTAATATAACAATATTACCTCGTTAAGATTTTATGAAATAATATTATTGCTACAGACAATAACGGTGAAGGCTGAGGTGCCGAACATGAAAAGTGGAGCTTTTGAGTTCAACCTGTGTCCCAGTGCCGACGCCCAGGACGAGGACTGTCTTTTCAAGTAAGTTGTCTACAATTACACAAAGTATTGAGAAATCTCCATCTCAGATATTCCGTGTCTACGTTCAGAGTCAATCATTCCTTATTAAGTGTTGCTTCAAAGGATTTGTCTTAGCTTGTGTTTCTTTGTACTTGCTTATTCTTAAGAGAGGAAGCTCTTAGTTGATGAGAGTGAAGCCGGGCAGGCAATGTGAGTACAGTATTTGTATGTATGATCACTTATGGGTATATACCTAGGCTTATGTGGTGTTGAATAAGATTTAAAGTATTAATGTCTCGTTCAGGTATCCACTGGAGATGGCTGACGGTAGTGGTCGTCAGTTTGAGATAAATTCTGAGATTCCCGGCGGCCAGTACGACGTATCATTGATACTGCCCAAGGGACTCACTTGTGATATCTGCACCATTATGGTCGGTACCTGTCTCTTTCTATCTATATATTCGTATATTTATATCACTCTACATTATAGACCCACCTGTCGTCATATTCATATCTAGTCTATCTGCCCGTTGTTATTGATTTTGGTACGAAGAATTAATTATTTCTATTGACATTATTGTAGATACATTTTCATGATTTCCATGATTAGTGAACCACAAGTTCAGGTTGTCTTCACTATTAAAACGAGGCGTGTGATGAACTTGTTGTTAACTCACACAGTGGACGCTGATCACCAAGGACTGTGTCGAAGGTTCCTCGTGCTCCAACCAACTCGCCAAACTCTGTGCTGACATCTCCATCACTGAGGAGAAGTAAGACTAAATCTCTGGCTGACTTTTATTCTCTCATGAAATTAACCCATAAAGTTCAGTAATTTCAATATTTATATATAGAAGGTAAATAATAACTGGCAGCGTGAGGGAATTTTCAAATTTCATCAGTTACTTCACACAAATTTGAGTAAGCTAAATAAAATGTTTGATTTTAAATGAAATAGCTTGGTTTTATAAAACAAATCGAAAATTATTAAAGATTAAAGCAAATAGTGGAGGGAAGTACAGACAGACCCCGACTTACGACTGCTACGACTTATGACCGTCGGGACTTACGACAGCCGCAGATTTTTTATTAAAATTTTTTTTTTTTTTTTCAAATGACACAAGCATTTTCTATACCGAAACGTTTCCAGTTAATGTAGTCTCCATGTATAATTAGAAAATTTATGGGGGCCCCCATGTGCATTCAGCTGACTACATTAAAGATAAGTGCTCAGTCACACTGTAACCATTCCTTATTATTTATTACTTACACTGTACTGTATCCATTCCTCATTATTCATTACTTTTACTGTACTGTATTTCATTGTAGATTATTTATTTAAAATTTTTTTTTTCTTTTTTTTTTATCTATGTTGGACTTACGACCTGGATTTGGGTCCCTAACCCCGTCGTAAGTCGGGGTCTATCTGGGTACTCTAAAAAAATTATATTGCACCTACAATACTGTTTGATATATAAAAATCGCTTAATGAAGGTAGAAATACGGGATATTCACAAAAGCATATAATTAAGTACATCATAGCGCCACATTAAACAAAAAGTCCAGGAATACGGAAATAATTTATAATAATCATAATTGTTTCCATAATTTATATACTGAACATGTTTTGTCATTGCCACATACTTGAGAAGATTTCTCTCTCTCTCTCTCTCTCTCTCTCTCTCTCTCTGGACACAAGTTAGCAGCCACCACTGAACGCGTGATTAACCACTGTATTTGTTGCAGAACACGAAAGACAAGATTTTGGGGCAAGGCCTTTCGCATTGCAGACAAGGCCTTGGACGTTGCGCACGCTTTTTCACGCGGATAAGATTGAGAAGAAGAATGGAATAATAAGTCTTTATCAATGATGATGTCTTTGGAACGGTCTGATGATACTCTTAGGTTATTCATGATTATTGGAGTTAATAAAAGACATAATGACAACCTCTAACAATGTCATACACATTTTAGCTTTCACAGTTACTGTAATAATTTATATTAGACGTATTATGGGTTATTATTATGAGTAGTAGCAGTAGTAGTATTATGGTAGAAACGCTGTTGTAAGAAAAGCTAATGCGTATTATATTGACACTACAGTATTATAAAATAGCACTATGATTGCCATTTCCTACTAAATATTGAATTTCTTAATATTACATATGACAATATGACATTATTACAATATTTTCTAGTCAATGTTATTATCATTATATAATTATCATTGTTGTATGTCGTCATTTAGTTTGTGACATAATAAAGGTTTTAGCAGAGAAAAATATTTTTTATCCGTCTAAATACACATCAATCAGGAGAGGAAGGACCTTATCATTCTCTCACGATAAAAAATAAACATTAAAAAAGAATGGTGATGATAACATACTTTCTTCATAACATGTAAGACAACATTCATTTTGAGTGTTTCATGGAAAACTAAAGAAACTGAATGCTGGTGTCTCAGTCTTACGTTGTATAATTATGGCCTTATCCATCAATTACTACTTGACATTATATTTATGAGAAAATGGTTTTGTTGCGTGTCCCCTCTGATGGTATCAACAGTATTCAGAAATTTGATGAAAGATCCAAACTCTGACTCTATTTTTCCCTTCCACTGTTTACCTCCCTCTTCAGGCTATGGGTCCGCCGAAGTCCTCCGAATTGGTCATGCTCTACCTACAGTGATTTACATGGACTCTTAGATACAGTTGATCTCCTTCAGTGGAGATTAAACAGTATGATCATATGTGATTATTAATATGCCCACCAGGCTCTCTCCTCCCTTATGCCTCCCTTTAGTTCAACGTATGTTACCTTTAGCCAAGACCGTATCTAGAAATTATGTTCGGGGGGAGGAAGTCAGAGGACCAAAGAGCGCTCGAGACATTTGTTCCCCAAAACATAAAAACTAAATAATCATTTAATTATGTGCATTTTATTGTGGTATTAAAGGTGAATAATTACAGCAGAAAATAACCAGTATGTCTTAAACAAAAATATGCTGATGACTAATTTTGCTAACACTCTTTACCAAAAAGGACACATCTCTTATAAATACCAAATTTAATTTTTTTTAGAATAAACTAGCCAAGGAAACCTTTCCAATCACACCAAATGAAACTTCAACTGTCTCTTGGGGTCCACTGGGAACGAGTAGGTGTCCAGGGGACTGTAACAATTTCTCTTTCGTAACATCACCAACTTTAACACCAATAAATCTCCCAGTGTCATACTCTTTGCCATTATTAGAATGCAGACAATGGCTTATTGAAAACTGCGCTACTTCTGAAGTAGATAGATCATAGAGAGACTCCTGCCCATCGTCATGGTCATCAGACTCATGCATATAGGCTAAGGCTGTATAGGATCTTCAGCTTTAAACTGTTCTTCAAGTGACCGTGTCTTTTCACAATAAAGGCCTTTCCACCAACAAGATTCATTTGAACCTGCCATGTAACAACGAATAATGCAGGTACAAAATAGTCATTAACTAGTTCTTGTGTAAGTGTAATATATTAAGCATCTCTCTTTCCATCTCGTGCCTAGCCAATTTATCACATGATTTTATATATTATTGCATATTATTATATTGCTATTATAGGTAAGTAAGGGACCATCCTTTTAATATATAGTAACACTTGTTACGACCGTGTCGTATTTTTCTATTTTTTTATATATAACCTGCTCCCATGTTCCATATTATTCCTGTAATGATGTGTTAAATTTACTATTATATATTCTAGTCACCTTACCCTGTGCTGTTAAGGTTTTAACTGTCATTATTTGTTCAAGCCCATCTTATTTCTTTATTTTGTATTGTAACCAGCATTCTTTGTTCTCTAACGACCATCTGCATCGTTAAACGACCCACCGGCGGGGCGGGAGCCGACCTTATATATAGGACCCACCAACTGACTTGAGTTAGTTCAGTCCTCTTGTCATACAGTCCACATCCTTTGAGTGTCACTTGTTACTTATACTTAATTTATTTGTGTTGTTCCTGTCGCCACCAATGTGGTATATCTATGTGAGTACCTATTTATGTCTCTGTTTGTGTCCATCAGTATTTGCTTAGTTGTATTCAAGTAATTCAGTGTTGTTTCACGTTAGTTAATTTCAGTGATAGTTTTTATGTGTTTATGCAGTGTTAACGTAATCCAATGCTTTATTTTTATTCTTTTGATGTTTCGATGTTTTAGTATCATTTGTGTCTTAAAAGTTTCGATGGTGAATCAGTTTGTTGTGACAGCCTACGAGGCTCTTTATTGTGTTAATATTTAATCAATTAAATTCTTAAAGGTTTACTTTATTTATTTTTATTCTTTTAATTTACTTCACTTTTTGTTTGGTTACGCCTAGAACCTGGATATTTAAGTAAATTAAGAGACGGCGTAACTCACTACACAAAAGTTGGCGGAGAAGAAGAAAGTCACCAATTCAGTATATTCAGTGGAATTCAACGGAAGCTTCCAGGCTTTCAGTATGATCAGTTGAATTCGGCAGAGAGTTGTCGGCTTTCGCTCGATTAATGCTTTCTACCACAAACACAATATATAATAAGACTGTCAGACGCCTCTTTCTCTCCCTATTTAAATTATATTATTTCGTGTACAATAAATTTAATTATACCAGCAATTCACAATGTATGTTTCAAGGTAAAATTGTGATTAAAGTAATAAAATACCCCAGTGTGCAGAACTGGAGGCCATGTTGAAATTCAACTGAATATTTGATGTTTAAAGGATTCTAAAAAAATATAATTATAACTACTCACATAACTGTCTCCATGATGATGATGATAATAATGAAGTAAAGTGGCAAATGACTTTGCCCTGGAAGAGGAGAGGAGAGAGAGAAGGAAACTATAGAAACGGGAAGTAAAGTAGTAGGGGGTGATAGCAGGTGGGCTGTCCACCAAGGTAAAAAGAACAATGAATTATACTTCAAATACTAATTTACACGATAAAATATAGTCAACACCGGTAAGAATGACAGTAGCAGGTTCTCTACATATTGGCACCAAGAACCACGCAAGATAATGACTCGCTTCAGTTATGGCAGGATTCACTTATATTGGCGAGTCATAATTATGAATAAACAAGGACATTAATGTTTTGTTATTGGTTGATCGGCATTTCACATCAAAGTTAAGAGAGTTCTTAGAAATCCCATATTTCACACTAATATAATTAATGCTGGTACAAGACCACCCTAAGACGAAAAGAAAAAGGTAGCTAGGGACTTAGCATGTACTGTACATCAAATTTGTGGGCAATAGAAGACATACACAGATCTATAAAGATATCTACGTGAAGGGGAATACTGTTGATATTTTGGCTATTTAAGGAGAAAGAGTAATGTAGAAGACTACCGTAGAGTGAAAGTCGGGAGTCAGGAAAGTAATAGTTACAGTTGGGGTTGGTGTAACCCAGTGAGTTTTGTAGAGAGATATCAGGGTCAATATGAGGGAGTATTGTGTTGTCATTCTGGGTAAAGGGCGTGTAACACCTACAGTTCAGTACATCTAGGGAAACAACACCAGCATCATCAGTGTCGGGATATTGGTTCTAATTAAGGAACAACAAAAACTCTGGGTCACTGAGGTGTGAAAAAGGAAGGTAAAAGAAAGCTATAAAAGTGGAGAGTAACGTACTCACGAGTGCTCTAACTACCACACTTATGATAGCTGGTGCTGGTGAGCGTGACTGGGAGAAGCGCTTGCCACTTGGTTATGTGGTTACCTTTTTCCCACCACAGAGGATGGACGCACAGAAACCGAGTTGGGCAGCAGGCCGGGAAACTCCTCTCCGGTTGGAGTAGGTTCTGTGGGGACCTTTGGGAGGCTGTTAGAGAGTGGGTGTGTGTCCACTTACCCGAGGGTCGGTCCCTACAAGGGTTTTATCAAGGTCTAAAGACCTTGGGTTTTATGACCGAACGTCACGTTTTTCCCATGTCTCCTGGCTGGCTGGCAGTGATGATGGTAGCGGCGGCAGTGATGATGGTAGCGGCGGCAGTGATGATGGTAGCGGCGGCAGTGATGATGGTAGCGGCGGCAGTAAAGGTGGTCGTATAGTTGTGTGGAGGTGTCCAGCCCCCGAGTCTCCCCGAGCAGTTTCATGTGAGCGTCGAAGCAGGACACACGCTGTCAACACACGTACTAGACATTCAGTGTTGGTTACCATATACCTTCGTAAACACCAAGTCACGTTTATGATCATATCAGTGTAGATAATGTAAATCATAATACAATTAAAAGTGTTTCTGTGTTGCTTTATCACATCACATAAGTTCATGCTAACATTTACACCTCATATGATAATTATTTTGAAATCTGTGGATTCTTGACGACAACCAGTTGTTCTCACCAGAAACTTATATTTTATTTTAATCGCTTTAATGTCGAATAGATATTAACTAAATCTATAAATATATAATATCGTCCAGATTTTATAGACATCTGTTGCCGTTCTTATGTTGGAGACTAAGATAATTTTATGTAAGTTTCACGTTGTGTAAGGAGACACCAATTTGGCTGAAAGAAATTGAACTTAAGATCCTGAGGGTCTTTGTTTGCTAGGATAAACTGCAAGTTTTCTAAAATGTTACAAAGTGATGAATGTGATTACCTGCCAAATTGAGTAAACAGCGAGAAACAATGTACTGTATAACTGTAATAAGAGTAGAGTTAAATCAGTGATATGATTCATCAGAAAGTGATATTCCTGTGGAACGGAAAATTTTCAAGCTAAATTATTTTTGTTCAATAAACGAGGCAATATTACAGAGTGGTTGAAGACTATCCAGGAGATAGTCACTACTGTAGTTAACGCCGTTTATTTGTCCCAGTGCATCACACTTGAGAAAATCGCAAAAAAAATCTTTAACGTATTAAAAATTCATAGATATTCTGAATTTACTACAGCTGCTAATTTATTAAAGATAAGTTGATATGGGCAAAATATTTCCCAAGTTTCATGTCTTGCATTTCTCATCTTACCACAGCCAAGAAGTAAGTGCAAGACTGATTGATACAGACAGACAAATCCCAAGTTTTGGTATATGAGAAAGACTTGGTTTCTCTCATCTTATCATACTAATTAACTGAAAGGTAAGTTGGTTTTAGCAGATGGGGATAAGACTGAGTTACCGTCGCGAAGTATCAAGCAGACCAGTGAAGCCAGGGAGGTTAATTTCGTAAAGCATCAAAATGAAACACCAGATTTTGGCCCCTTACTGTATTCTCTTATTACTGTGTTGGTGATGACGATGATATTGTGAT